TGTTTATGTGGACTGGTGAGACAATATAGTGTAGAAAATAGAGAGCTGCCTCCCAAAATAGCAAGATCTGAGTCCAGGTTCTACCTCTGACACATTGTATGACCTTGTGCAAATCACTTAACCTCTCAGTAGTCTAAGGTTTTCAAAATGTAGTGCACAGACACCTGGTGTCCCCATGGATCCTTTGGGGAGAGGTCTACGGGGTCAAAACTATTTTTATGATAACATTAAGATGTTATTTCCCTATCAAAATGCCCCCTTTTTCAACTACGTATTTGTGTCAGACTGGGTTTTCTTTATATTAGTCATGAAAAACAGTATGTACAAGCAGACATGAGGAGCTAGTTGTCTTCTTTTAAGTCAAACATTAAAGAAGTTTGCATCTTAATATAGGTCTAATCCGTATTCCTATTCAATATCATAACCTTACACTAGGGATGATATAGGGATAGATAAGGGGATTTGTCATATGAAGTTTAAAATCAGCCGCACTTGAGGACCTAGAGGGACACATGCTGTCTTGAGGCTGCAGATTCCCCACCCCTAGTATAGGGGATGCTGGCACTTCAATCAAACCATAGATATTGATAGACAAGGCTATAGAGAGATAAGAGACAGTGTGTATTGTGAATCTCTATGTGTGCCTGTGTGTGAATGTGTATGTGTGATATTGAATTAAGAAAACTCTTAGCTAAATTTTTGGTATTATTGGAAGCCTATAATTTAATTATTTGTCAGATAAAGGTCCGGGCCAGTCATAGGCAAAATCGGAAAACACATTTTTTTTGTTTTGTTTTCCTCTCAAGCTATTATTCATTAAATTATAGAACATTGGAGTGGAAAGAGATTTTGGAAATCATTCTCCACAAAGCTGCCATAATGATATTCCTAAAGCATAGATCTAACCATGTTACTTGGCTGCTCAAGATGCTTCAGGGTCTCCCTATCAGTTCTATGATAAAAAAGGATCAAGAATTATAGTTGTAAAGAACCTCAAATGTCATCTTAACCAAGCACCTCATTTTACAGATGTGGAAATAGATACCCAGATAGGTGAAACAACTTGTCCAAAATGATAAGAACTAGTATCTGAACCAGTCTTCTGACTCCAAATTGCTCATTCATTCCACTGCATCATTGCTCCTTTATTTGACCTCTAAATTCCTTTAAAATCTAGTTTAAACCTACTTTTCTAGTCAGATTTTTTTGTGTGTAACATTACACTGCTGGCCTCTGCTATCTCCTATAACTGGAATGGTATCCCTTTACACCTTGGCCTCTTGGCATTGCTAGCTTACTTTAGGACTCAGCTCAAAGTCCATTTCCTACATGAGGCCTTTTTGATTGCCATAAATTATTTCTACACAAATAAAGGAATAAACTAATGAATCAATAAGCAGATAAACAAATAGGTAAGCTAATTAGTAAATTAATAAATAAAAGTTGCCCTGCATTCACAGAGTCCCAGAAAATTTCAATGATTTTCTTAAATTTACACAGCTAATAAATAGCAAAACTGTGACTAGAAACTGGCTTTCCTCATTCTCAGTCTTGTTCTTTCCATTGTCCTTTTCCATGAACTTTTCCCCAATCTGGCATCCAGTGTTTTCTTGCCTTCTTTCTGTTCATCAAAATTTATTCTCAAAGCCTTTATTCATATTAATGTATTAAATGACTGATGATAATTTAGTGTTAGATGTATCTCAGTTGCGAAACTGATTGAAGCATTATGGCAGTGGAGTTTCAGATATCAGTCAGAAGGTTGGGGAAGTCATAGATAAAGGATAACTATATCCACAAAGTAGCCTTAGTGTTAGGTTGAAGATTGACATTCTTGGGAGGAAGCCTGGTGATATGGTGGACGGAGTACTAGATTTGTTGACTGAAAAACCTAAGTTTGGCAGCTAGGTGGTGCAATGGATAGAGCACCAACCCTGGAGTCAGGAGGACTTGAGTTCAAATCTGATCTCAGACACATAACACTCATGAGCTGTGTGACTCCAGGCAAGTCACTTAAACCCAATTGCCTCACTAAAAACAAAAAAAACAAACCTGAGTTCTAATTCTTTCTTACACTTGTTAGCTGTGTAATCCTAGACAAATCACTTTGACTCTTCTCAGCTTTGGTTTCTTCATCTTTAAAATGACAACTATAAAAACATCTACTTCTCAAGTTTTTTTATGAGAATAATCAGAATTAACATATAAAGTGCTAAGGATAATAATATCTAGCATTTACATAGCTCGTTAAGTTTTACAAAACACTTTACAAATATTATCTTATTTGGTCCTTACAACAATCCTTTGAGGTAGGTGTTATTATCCCTATTTTACTGATGAGGAAATTGAGCAAGTCAGTGATTTGACTAGGGTCACATGGCTAAAAACTATCTAAGTAGGATTTGAACTCAGATCTTTGTGACTCTGGGCTCAGTGCTGTGTCCATTGAACCACTTGCTATTGCTGTTGGTACTTCCTACCAGCTGCTCTGCTTCCATTTGACTCCTTGAACAGCATGTTTTCCTCAGAATAAGCTCCTCACCAAAAGTCTCATTGTCATGGAGATTGCTTCAGCTTTGGTAGTTCAATATCTGCTCTTTTCCAGCAGTTACCTCACCCTTCTGATGGAGGGCTGAAGGGCAGAACCCTCCCAAAGCTACCTTATCGAGGACTCAGAATTCCAGCCAGCTCTTCATTTCCCACCAGCTGCTGTGCTTGGTTTTGACTGTATAGTCTTTCCCCATTAGATTGTAAACCATATGAGGGCAGGAACTTTTTCTTCCTCTTATTTGTATCCCTAGAACTTAGTAAAGTGCTTGGCACATAGCAGGTACTTAATAAATATTTATTGATTATTGACTGTTATTGTTGTTCCTGGGTCTGAAGTCACTGACAAAGCAAGATATAGAAAAAAAAAAATAAACAGTCTGGGAATCCACTCTTTATTGTGTAGTTTCTGGGCCTCTACTTACTTCTCATTAGTGACTAAATTTTATTTTCTCTTTGTACTTGATTTGTTTTCTTGATATGTCTTAGATTTCTTTTGTTTTGACATGTTTGCTTTTGTTAATTTTCAGAGAACATGCAGACAATGAAGTGCCAATAAAGAGGGAAATCAGGAGGAAAAAGAGAGCAAATTAAGTGAAAAGGGAAAGAAACAAATCTTATGTGTAGATAATGGAAAAACCTGAGAAAGTAAAAAAAAAGTCTTGTTTGAATAATAATTATTATAGCTAGCACTTACGTAGCACTTTAAAGTTTGCAGAGGGCTTTACATGAGTCACCTCATTTGATCTTCATAACAGTCCTGGAAAGGAGGTTCTTTTATTATACCCATTTTACAGGTAAGGAAACCAAGGCCAAGAGAGGTTAAATGACATACCCAGGGTCACATAGCTAACTAAGCAAGCCAGGGAGAGTAATTTAAATTCAGGCAGATCTTTCTGATTCCACGCCTCTCAGAGTATCCACTTTTGGTCTTGGTTGTGCCCTGAAACTACAAAAGAGTATATTTTCTATGCTAAGAGCAAATGTTTTAATTTTTTATTTTATCTGAATTTTATTGTCTTGGGAAACATTTCATAAGGAATATGGCATATTGTAAAAAGTGCTCAATTTGGAATCAGCAGACCTATGTTTAAATCCTGGTTCTTCTACTTAATATTTGTGTGACCTTGGGCAATTCACTGAATCTCCCTGGGCCTCAGTTTCCTTTTCTGTAAGATAAGGAGATTGGGCAAGATGACCTTTAAGATCCCTATCAGCTCTAAATCTGATGAATCTTAGGCAAAATGTCCAATAAATGTGACAACGCTGTTTTGTCAGCATAAGTAATCACCATCTTCCTATTTGACAACTTGGAAAAATCACCAACATGCTGAGGTTTCTTTGTCCAGGGGCTGGGAAGAAAAAAAATCTTTTGTAATCTCTCTCAAAAACTGCATAAGCTCTTAGGCCTCATTCCTCACCCTCTTTAAATGCTGAGGCAGTACAATAGAAACAAGAAGCTTAAAAAAAAAGTAACTGTGACAAAAACAACAAAAGACTTTGCTTTAGAAATGAATTGCTTTTTGATAACGTTTCAAAAATGGTCAAAAGTCTCTTTACCCGGTTGTTTAGAGTCACAATGTTAATTAATACGTGTCATACACATACACACATACACACAAAACACATATACATATATTCATACACATATATACCCTCGTACACATACTTGTATACACATGCATATATATTCATAACTATTTTGTAGGCACTGTTCCAGGTACCCAATCCACTACTAACACTAACCAGAGTTGAACACAATCACCAAGGGGGTAGAAAATAGATATCCTTTCCCTTCTTTTTTACTGGTGATTAACATACTGAACTTTACCTCATTATATTAGCAATTCTGATGGTTTCCAGACTTAGGACAATCTGAATATAAATTTGGTTTTCAGAACAACAATTTAGAGACCTTTTCAGAATTGTTTTTCATCTGGAGCTAAATGGGCACCTCTTTGGAGAGGTCTGCCAGGAGTTGGAGTTTCTGGCTGGCAAGTGGGGAAACTACCTAATGATTTTTCCATTGATTCGTGTTCCCGTTTCTTTTACAGTAATGGCTATAAGAAAGAATTTGTCACTTTTCTCTGGTTGTAAACAAAGACTTTTTCTTACTCACCTAAAAATCTAAATGAAAAAGTTTTGTTCTCATTTTCTTTATTGTACGTGTTCGAAATTATTCCCAGGCGTTGTGTGTATTTAAATGAATAAATTATATGTATGTTGATAGATAGATAGATAGATAGATAGATATTTTAAGTTTGTAACCTAAAGGATAGCTATCTATACCTATATCTATATCTCATCTACATTTATATCTCTTTGTCAAGAGAAAGTTTTATGTACCAAGTTCCTTGAATGTCAAAAACAAAACCCTTAAAATAAAAGAATAAACATGGGACCTGCTTTTTTTTTCTTTTGTATTTATCATCAATATCCTGGTTGTATTTCAGAGCTCTGGGATTTAAATAGGACATCAATCTTTCATAGCCCTTTTGGATTTCTCGACCTCCATGTGATGTTGCTGGATGAATACCAAGAACGACTGTTTGTGGGAGGCAGGGATCTGGTGTATTCCCTCAACCTGGATCGAGTCAGTGAAGGCTATAGAGAGGTATGGCAATATCAAGCTCTATTTTTAGAGGAAAAAAATGCATGAGTTTATTTTGTATACTATCAGGTAGCTAGTTGGTACGTGGATAGAATGCTGGATTTGGAGCCAGGAAGAGCTGAGTTCGGATCCAACTTCAGATACTTACTAGCTATGTGGCCCTGAGAAGGTCACTTCACCTGTTTACCTCAGTTTCCTCATCTGTAAAATAAGGATAATATCACCTACGTTCTAGCATTGTTGTAAGGATCAAATGACGTATTTTTTAATAGATAAATAGTATTTTATGTTTTCCAATTACACATAAAGATAGTTTTCAACATTCATTTTTATAAGATTTTGAGTTCCAAATTTTTCTTCCTCCCTCCCTTCCCTCCCCTCTCCCCAAGATGGCAAGCAATCTGAAATAGGTTATACATGTTCAGTCATGTTAAACATAATTCCACATTAGTCATGTTGTGAAAGAAAAATCAGAACAAAAGGAAAAAGCCATGAGAAAGGAAAAGGAAAAAAAAAACAAGAAAAAGTGAAAATATTACGCTTCAATCTATATTCAGACTACATAGTTCTTTCTCTGGATATGGGTAACATTTTCCATTATGACTCTTGGAATTGTCTTGCATCATTGTATTGCTGAGAAGAGCTGAGTCTATCATAATTGATCATCACACAATATTGCTGTTACTGTGTACAATGTTCTCCTGGTTCTGCTCACTAACTCAGCATCGGTTCACATAAATCTTACCAGGTTTTTCAGAAACTTGCCTGTTCAACTTTTCTTATAGCATAGTAGTATTCCATTGCATTCATATACCACAACTTGTTCATCCATTTCCCAATTGATGGACATTCCCTTAATTTCCAATTCTTTACCACCACAAAAGGAGCTGCTGTAAATATTTTTGTACATATAGGTCCTTTTCCTTTTTTATGATCCAAATGAGATATTTCTAAAGCACTTGACAAACCTTAAAGCACTATATTCATGCTAAGTCTTATTATTATTCTTTTGTCATATTTATGCTCTTTGGGAAATAATTATTTTATGAAATAAACTGTTAGCCAACAATAATCAACATTTAAGATGATTTTGGAAAACATCTCAAATGAATTTTCAGCAAATCCTTGTCCCATTTGTATCCCCAGCAGGCTTCTAACTCCTACATTTGGCATTCTCTTTGTATGACATCCCTCCTTATTACCACACCCTCTGTCCTGAGACTTATGTGTAGAACATGTTGAATTATTATCAGCCTCACTGGATTTTTTCAATGTCAATAGATGGTTTAATGACATCTAAAGAAATGTGAATATGAGACCTCAGCATTAACCCTGTATCAATGCCTGACTTACATTGGTTAGTCTCTGGACGGACTTGGAAGATTTGAATCCTAAATCAAAATTGGTAAAGGGCTCAGGGAACTGACAACAAAATACAACAATTTTATGAGAAAGACTGTTAACAGTAAGGAAAATGTTAGTTTAAAAATGATTTATTTAAATTTTAATTTATGAAATAAAATAAACATTTCCATAACATAGTATATTAAAATTGATTGCACAATAGATAGTATGTTTATTATGTACAACTTGCTATTCCTTTTAAATATATAATAAAGTTATTATGTAAATTCCTTTTTTCCCTTTTTTTCTTCCCTCCCCTCCACCCTAGAGATGGCTACCATTAGACACACACACACACATACACACACACACCCACACACGTATATGTGTGTGTATATATAAAATCATTCTATGCATACTTCTATTTACCAGTTCTTTTTCTGCATGCAGATAGTATCTTTCTTCATATGTCCTTTTTAGTTAATTTGGGTATTTATCATAGTCAAAATGATTTATTTGCTCAAAGTTGTTCTTAAAGCAATATTGCTGTTATTGTATATAATAATCTCTTGGTTTTGCTCATTTTGCTCTTCGTTATTTCGTGTAAGTTTTTCTAAGATCATTGAACTTATCATTTCTTATGGCACAGCTGTATTTCATCACAACTATAACATACCACAACTAATAGATTATATCTACACTTACAGAGTGTAGAATTGAACTGAAAATCTTGAAAATTTATGCCATGAAAACACTTTGCTATACAATATGGAGATAAGTTGAGTGATTTTTTTTCAGTTATATGTGCATCCTCATCTATAATTATCCATTTCCTTTTTTAGCATCTCCAGTCTCTTTCCCTCAGTAGCTTCTCTCAATAGCTATCCTGGTTCTGGGACAAGTTAAAATTCATCTAACCTGTCACATCTATTTAGCTGCAGACCATGTGGCATATCCCATTCAGTCATTTACCAGGAAACTAGAGTCTATCCAATGTGACCATGTTACTATCTTTCCTACTCCTATCTCCTCTCCCTCCCCAACTACTTTTTGCTTCTTACTTTAGGAACAGTAATCATTTTAATGATACCATTGGGGGAATTAAAAAAAAAAGTATTACCAACAATAGCCCTATGGCTGCATTTACAATCCCTGTAACTCACTGGACAAAACCACTTTCTTGACCCTACTACTTTATGCATATTGTATCTTCCTATTAGAGTGTAAACTCCTTGAATTCAGTAGAGCTGCTTTATTTTCACATTTCATCCTAGCACCAAGGAGAATAGTCAACACTTATTTTTTTTAATTCATGAATTGACTTCTTCCCTCAAACATGCTCATATCTCTTCTATTGTTAAAGAAAAAAAAATCCCCACTCTTAGAAACTTGATATTCATTATAATAAAAACCCAAACTCTTTATTTATTCTTTTCCCCACAAAGTTGCTTGAGTGTTCTATTGATATGTATGGCTTACATTTCTCCTCATCCATTCCCTTTTTAGTCCCTGCAATCATGCTTCCACCTTCACTTCTCAAATGAAACTGCTTTCTTAAAGATATTTATAAATTCCTTCTAACCTACTTCAGTTGCTTTTCCACCATCTTCTTTGATCTCGCTGAGGTATTGAATATTATTGGCCACCATCCTTGAAATTACCTCTCTCTCTCTCTCTCTCTCTGTGTCTCTCTGTCTCTCTGTCTCTGTGTCTCTCTCTCACTCTCCTCCCCTTCTCCCTCCCTTTTCCTCCTTCCCTCCCCCCATTTCCTCCTTTTTTTGGATTGCCTTCTATCTCTGAGATTCATTCTTTTCAGAAATCTTATTCTAATCTTAACTGTGAATCTTTCCAAGAACTCTCCTTTGTTCCTCTGCACTTTTTACAATTAGACCTTTGATGAACTTATCCACTATTTTGTTTTCAGTCATCCCCCTCTATGTTAATGCCTCCCATATCAACATTTCCAACCTGAACTCTTACCTCTGCCCATCACATATTTTTGAATTATCTCATGTACATCCCAATTTGAATGTTTATTGCTACTACAAACTAAACGTGTTTAAAATAGAACTCTTGGTAACTCCTTACTGGCACCCCTTTCCAACTATTATAGTTTATGTCACTAGTATCATAATTCCCCTAGAATCATTGAATCTCTGAATTCAAAGAAATCTCAAAAGCTATCTAGTTCAACCTAACCATGAGCATGAGTTCTCTCTGACATCCTTGAGAGTCGTCAAGAATTTCCACTAAGACCTCTAGTGAGAGGAACCATTACCTTCTGTCAAAACCCCTTACTTCTCCCCACCAATAGAATGTAGACTCTTCTGGGGCACAGACTGTGCCATTTTTAAACTTTTGTATTTCCCATATATATCATAGGGTCTTGCACATATTTGGTGCTGAATGAAATTGAAAAGCATTGTATGTTGTTGAGAGAATATAATTATTTTGCCTAAAAAGAAAATTTTGACATTATCAAATTTTCTACTTCTTGACGACTTGACTCATTTTCAGCAATATAACCATTGATTTCGAGTTGAGTCCTTTACTTCCTTGTGCAAATTAGGAAGCTCATGATAGCTTGTACTTTTATCTTTACTTAGATAAATGACTTCTGTAAATAGCTTTCTTGCAAAATTATCCAAGTTCCCAGAGTTAATGTGAGAATTCTTTGAATTATAGATATATTTTTTTTCAAAAGAATGTACATGAATTGTTCTTCAGCTCCATTACTTAAGTGGACTTGAGATTTCATTAAAAGAAATATTCTTTTAATTTGTGCAAATAGCATCCCATTGGTACTTTATCTTGCATGGTCCTTGTTTATGTTCTCTCATAGAGCCTCCTGAGAACATATGTCCAATGTGCTAAAATCCCATCCCTAGATCTTTTAATAGGGTCTTGGGTATCATAATACCATTGGGTAATAGGGTATCATTATAGTACTTGGGTTGCCTTCACTCTTTTGAACATATTCCACATCTGTCAATATTCAAACTCCTTTCTTTTAATAATGAATCTTAACTTTTAAGTTTCAATAAAAATGTTTGAAAATTGTTGTGAGTAGAAAACATTTTTCTATATGCTTTTTATTATAATTGTTTTTATACCTTTCATAATTTCAAAAAAGTTTCTACAAAGGGCTACAAAATTGTATTAAGTTATTGGAGCAAGATCAGATTCCCTAAAAGGTCAGCAGGTTCCCAACAGGGGAGGCAGAGTTTTCTTTATACTGTTTAAGCAAATTCCTTTCTGTTTCATAACTAGAGGGATTTGTCTTGGCTTTAAATCTGAACAACATGAAGTTAATCTGTGTACATGCATAAAATTAATTAGTCATAAGTATTTATACAGTGAATTGAATGATTTATAGAAAATTTAAGTAAATTGAGCGTAGTAAGAATACTCTTGAGAAAAGTAGCAAAATAGCTTGAATGGCTTTAAAATACATTTAGATTTCAAAGGGTATATATAACTGAAAATGAAGTATGCCTAACTCACCTAGTAATTGTTTTGAAGGGTTTCTATTGTGAGTTTTTACTCTGTTGTGAGAAATGTATATCTTTCAACTAATCCTTAAAACAAAACAAAAATTAAATAGAACACCATTCTTGGCTTTCAATATATTTAAATAATGGGATATAACTGCCTATTGA